GAAGAACCTTGACGCGCCTTGCGCAGGGGGCAACCGTTCCGCAGGTGACGGGTGTCTCAACAGACAAAACACCGTCGTGTGTTTGCGTGCTGCCCGGCAGCTCGGAGCCCAGCACCCTCGTCCTCAGCATAGCTGAGATCCATGGGCATAGGCCCGCTCGACGAGCAGTTGGAGTGTGCATTCCAACCAAGTTATGCCGACTTGAAATTAAATTCGGCATTCAATGCCACATTCACCGCCTCTTCAAACGAAGATGGATGCACACGGAAGACTTTCATTCTGCCCACACCAGTGCGGAGGCCTTCCATAAAGACGGTCACTGTGACCGCCTCCGGAAGGGAATCTGCTGCTATACCGGCAATGAGAGTGCGCATCTCTTGGACAAAGTCCACCAATTCCTTGTTTCCCTGTCGGGCGGTAAGGAAGCGCGATCGTACGCGATATGCCTGATTATTCGGCGAGAACACTCGTGAGAGCTGCAATTTTAGCTTCGCCTAGGAGGGAAACGCAGCTTCGACTGAAGTACCGCGCGTCAGTGTCCTGCGCTCGACCACAGAGCTTTGAGATAGCTAGCGCTACGCGCTGTTGCTCGGTCTGGAGCATGGCGGATACGATGGCCATTTCGACCTCTCTCACCCAGAGCAGGAGATTCTTTCAATCCTTCCCCTCAAAGACCTTAACGCTTACCATGAGCGGCTTAGCGCGGGGAAAATCATTCGTCACCGACGGTGGCGTCATAGACGCAAATGATGCAGACATCTTCTTCTGCAGGAGCTCTAGCAGCGCGTTTTTGTGCCTTGAAAACACCTATAGACGCGCACCGATCGCCTCGGGGCCTTCCGCTACAAGGTGTTAACGCCCTCAGGGCCAAGCAAGGACAGCAGCTTATTAAGACCGTCCTGCATGCCCTGGAGCAAAGAGAAAAACTCCTCCATCATCACAGAGGATCAGATTAAACGACTCAGGTGTAGATTGACTACAAGTGCTACTAAGTGCAGCGGTGCTGTCGTAGTATTGTGCTTGAGGAAGTGTAATTTAGGTCACCAACCTTTCGCTTTTTACAAGAACCAATACAAGCGTAGCGGATCGCAATCCGCTCCCTCCAAGAGTAGTTAGTACCTTAACTAAGGCTAATAGACTCTTCGTTTTGAATTCAAAACTCATTTTTATTTCCTTTTATCTGCGGCTTAACCGCCAAATTTTAAATGTATAGATTTTACTAAAAATAAATAA